GGTGCTCTGCATCCCCAGCCTTTTTTATTTTGAGAAAAGGTCTCCCTTGATAAGTTGTTGAGGCTAGCCTTGGACTTGTGATCCTCCTGCCTCAGCCTTCTGAGTCACTGGGATTACACCATACCCGGCAGGGAGTTTCTAGATCTCCACAGAGTGTACATCGAGATCAAAGTTGGCCCCATTGCCTGGATCAAATGTTTGGTGAGGTGAAATCTTTAGAATGATTATAAATATAAGAAACCCAATAATTAAGAATAGACTCAAGAATCTGATACGATAAATACTCATAAGCAAATGCTACACTAGAAATTCTCTTAACCTGGTCAGACCAAGACTCATCAGATGTTCTAAAGACAAGCAAAATACACCAAAACCCTGGGAGTGCCCAACAACTCTCATAGCTAGGAAGCTGCTGGCCCATATGCTGTGCCCTTTGCCTTCATCTTGCCTGCTTGCCACAAGTGATTTACGTTTGTCGTCAAACCTGTTTATGTCAGTTGTTATAAAAAAAGGACATAAACCAGTGAAATATTCTATCGGAAAGGAAGAGGATTGTTGTTTCTCTAGTTGCATATTTTGGAAAGTTTTCTTTAAAGGAAAGTTGCTTAAAAAAGTGTTCTCAAACCCTGTGGGGACAAGACAATGGATACCCCAACTGAAAGGTTAGGGAAAGAAGTCATGTACGGTGGGATTTTGCCCTCGGTTGCACTTTGCTCCACAAGTGTTCTTAAAGTCTCAGTTCCACTTAAAACAAAACAAAGCAAAAAAACTTGGAAAAAAAAAAAAAGGCATCAAGGAAAAAAAAAAAAAAAAAAAAAAAAAAAAAGAACCATGAACTACAATTAGCACACCTAAACTTAATACAAAGTCTTCAGCCCTAACATTAAACGGTTGCCTAATAATTAAATCACATTTATGTGTTTAAAAGTATTAAGGTATGGGGCTGGGGTTGTGGCAAAGCTGTAGAGCACTCACCTAGCACGTGCAAGGTACTGGGTTTGATCCTCAGCACCACATAAAAATAAATAAGTAAAATAAAGGTATTGTGTCCAACTACAACTAACAAAGAATTTTTAAAGAGTGTTAAAGTATAGATATATTAATTTAAAAAGTGATTTCTTGCACAAACTGACTTTTGTGATAAATTAACCAGAAAAACAGCTTCCTAACATATGGACCAAGAGCACCTTTTCCATGACCCTATGATTCTAGGCTCTTATAAATGTACTTAATTGAATGGTACCACTAACCGAGTCTAACACCCTGTGAGGTATGTTGGAAGATATCAACACTGCTCATTGACTTGATGGAATTTATGAATTCTGCTCTCATTTAGCCGGGAGGTATTTATAGCTGTGTGTATTTCATGTAACTCATCTCACTTCAACACCTGTATGTTCTTTTAGGGACAGTAACACATACAGAGGATTATGGATAAAGTGTGATGAGGAAAATGTCAATACTGGAGGTAAGAAACATTGTGGTCTGGATTAACATAGTTATTTTAGGCTTCAAAATCAGAAATTGGACAACATTATCCATATACATGTATTTTTTCTCTCTTTGGAGATGATGATTTTATTTGCATGGATTTACATTTTATTTACATGAATATATAGTTGACCCTCTGTATCCCTGGGTTCTGTATCTGTGTATTCATGGCTCAAACAATCACAGATCCAAAATATTCATGAGAAAGCATTGTGTCTGTCCTGAACATGTATTAACATTTTCCTCATCAGTATTCCCTAAACAATACCTATAACAACTATTTATATAACATTTGCATTGTATTATTATTTATTTTTCCTATGTATTATTATAAGTAATCTAGAGATGAGTTTAAGTATATAAGAGGCATATGCATGTAATATACTTAGTGAAAGTATTTAGTGAAATTTAGAAAAGTATTACATTCTATGTATTTAGGGAAAAATTAGTGCTTAATATCTTTTCAAGTATTAATCAAACAAAAAGACCTGATTTAATAATTATGGATTGTTCAGTTTGGAAAATGGGATTTATATTTATATATTATGCCATTAATGAAATATAAATTTCCAAATGATAGTTCTGGAAGGCTTAAATACTTATTTTCTTTAATAAAAGCAGGCTTAAACATTGCTGAGTTTGAATCGAAAATTACATACAGAATTTTTTTTTATCCTTACTTATGTGTCTAGCTGCTCTTACATTTCAATTGAAATGCTACTAGGAAAAAAGAAAAAAAATGAAATAAATCTCATCTTGATGTATATACCTCCCACCCTGCCCCTCAAACATACAGACATGTATAAAACTTACTAATGAGAATATGTTTCAGAACATATTCTGAACCAATGGGCCAAGATTGACAGCTATCAAATTACAGAAAGCAAAAACTTCATGGCATTTACTGATTTGGGCCATCTTCCTAGAACTGTGATTGCTCAGGTAGAAGGTGGATAGGAGCATCAGGTAGGGAATCAGAAGGCCTGCATCAGGCTTGACTCTGGTCTGAATGCTGTGTGGTTGTAGAGTTCCTTTACTTATCTGACTTCATTTTCCTCATCTGAAAAACGAGGTGGTAAGTTCCATTTCCTCCTTCAACATCCTGTGATCAGAACAGTTAACATATTGGGGGCTTTCAATGAGAAAGGCTGTACATTGAGCACTTTCTATGTAAATTCACATATGCCTCACAAGAATCCTAAAAGCAGATATTTTTGTATAATTTTCATTTTGCAGAAGAAAACATGGCACAGAGGTAAGTGTGTGTCTATGCCACACAGCTGAGAAGTGGAAAAACAAGGATCTGCACCCCTGCAATCTGGTCCCAAATTCCAGATTCTAGGGTCCAGACTGTCATACCGATTCTTTTAACATAAATTGACAATAAAAGTTGATGAAAGCCAGGAAACACAAGTAATTTACAGTACTGTTTTTTTTTTTTTTTGTTTGTTTGTTTTTTCCAGAAATTCAGATGGCCAAATACCTGTACCTATTTGGCAAGTCTCTCTTGGTGGGTAGCCTGCTTGGTTTTCTGGGATTCAATGTTACTACAGCAAAGAGCAACTAAAAAGATCTTTGTTTGCAAATAGGTAGGCTTGAACTATGAGAAGCAGGAATGCTGTTTAGGACAAGGCTAAAGAACCCATTCCAAATGGGGGTTGATCTGAGCAGATTCATAAAAACCTGTAGGCACTGCAAAATCTGTTCTCTCACAGCAAGGTGACATGGAACAATGGCACAAAACCAACAAAGCAACCACTAGAAGGACAGAAACAAAAGCTCTTATGTGACTCTAAGCACCCATTGCTGTCTCCAAAGTCACAAGGCCAGAAGCTTCTCCAACCCTACCCCACATGAATCATCTGGAAGGTCTTATTAAAAGAAAAGGTTCTGGATCAATGCATCTGGGTAGGCCTGAAACTCTGGTGTGTAATGAGGGACCAGGTGAGGTCAATGATGCTGGAAAGAGAACCATATTTTGCAACTGAATAAAATAGACCTTATGATCTAGGACTCAGAAAAGCTTAATTCTGCTACAAGTCCATGGTTATATTATTAACCTGTTTCCTCAGCTGATCTTTCCTGACCATTTCCTTCTGTCTCTAAAATTCAGTATTTCTGATGATGCTCTTTTCATTAAACCCTACACTTAGTTTCTGTTTGTAAGATCAATGGGAAAAGAAAATGTTTCCCTTTCTCCCAAATGCAGGTCTCTGCAAGGGAAAAGTTAAGGCTCAGTCTTCTCCTCATTCAGAGAGACAATGGGCACTCTGTTCAGATATAAAATCTTCCTAAAAAGAAGTGATCTGCAGAAACAAGATTTAAATTTGAAGCATTCTATTTCTTGGGCCAAAGTCTCTTTGAGAGTAGCTCACCATAGCAATGGTATGTCATGTACATATTAAAATATGCATCTTAACTCCATCCTTTAACAATACTGAGGAGGGAGGCTTGGGTTTATTTTCTTATATTGTTTTCTGAGGTCCCCATCTCAAATGGGGGTCCCAAATGCCTGGGCTCAAGAGATCCAACCACATCAGTCTCTTGCCCCCCAACACCTGGTTTCAGGAGTTTGCATTTCTTAACCATCTAGCTTTGCACTATCCAATATGGCAGCCACTAGCCATATATAGCTATTGAGCACTTGAAATGTACAGGTCTGAATTGAAAATACACAACAGATTTCAAAGACTTAGCATAAAGAAAAGAATGTAAAATGTGTCACTAATAAATTTTATATTGATAGCATGTTAAAATGACACTATTTTGGGTATGCTAGGTTAAATAAAATACTCTATTGAAATTAATTTCACCTGTGTCTGTCTCGATCTGCTTTCCCCTCCTGCAGTGCTGAAAATTGAACCAAGGGCTTCCCACATGCTAGGCAAGCACTCTATTATGGAGCCACACCCCAAGCCCTTACTTGTTATCTTTTAAATTTTTAATTTTTTAGTGCTGGGAATTGAACTGAGGAACTTGTATATGCAAAGCACATGCTCCACCACTGAGCTACACCCCTAGCCCTCTTTTTATTTTTTAAATGTGGCTACAGAAAAACTTCACATTATACATGTAGCTCACATTGTATTTCTACTGGACAGTACAGATTAGACCCATTGTATTCAAACTGGCCTCATACCAGTAGCATCCATATCACATGGAGCTTGTCAGAAAAGGAGATTCTTGTCCCTTCCTCAGACCTATTGAATCAAAATTTGCATTTTAATCAGTTCCCAGATCTCAAATTGTGCAACATTCAAGTTTGAAAAGTCCTGGGCTAGTTTTTCCTGCAACACATTATGGTAGGTATTTGGGTTATTGGCCTATATAAGTGGCATGTTAAGAGGGTATTGTGTTTGCTGGTTTTCTACGTGAACATGCCAGCAAATCAATGAAAATTTTTAGAAATTTAAGTGATAACACAATTTGAAATACATATTACAATTATACTATACATAAAAGGTCATACACATAACATACACACATATTGGGAAGCTATTTGAGTCTACCTTCGTTACTTCTGGGTTTTCAGCCACCATGTACGTGAAACTAATGTTCACAAGATCTGTGCCACTGCACACGCAAACTATCCGCCCTTCCAGATCATTTTCTGATTTTCCAACAGCTTCCAGAGCAGCCAGGATTTTGGGATCCTGCAAAGAGGTATACAAATAGGAAAAAAAAATCTGTTGGAAATATTGTAGAAAACTTGCCCCAAATAAAATATATTAGAGGTAAAAATATCCAGAAGGGCAAATGTTGTGGTTGCTTTTTCCCATTTAACTAACATACCTGGTTACCTAGGATTATTCTTAACCTGTAGAGGTAAAATTTCTAACACTACATTTTATTTGAAATCCTTTAATAAGAGAGATGTTATAAATTTTTTGGTTTAGAAAAGTAGATGTGAGGGGTTTTGTTTAGCTTTTTTTTTTCTCTGAGATAGAGAAGGCTGTGACTGGGGTTCACTTTTGTTCACAAGTTGACAAGGGGGCTCTCACTAGAGAACAGTCACGTACATGACCCATGAACCGATATGCCATTGCCACAGCCAGCTAACACAGGTTATTCCCCCAAATGAGACTAAATCTTTCAAGTAGCCTGGATCCAGAGTGAATATTTTCATTTCTACAAGCCATGGCATCCTCAATTGGCATGAAAGCTGTGAACGTTTACCCTCATTCTTAAATAAAACAGGGCCTTTGTTCTCTGAAAGAACTCAGGAGGAAATGCCAACATATGGTCACACAGAAAATTTAACTAACATAAAAGAAGACAGATTTAAAAAAAAATAAAAACAAAGTAAAGAATGTAACTTTGTTTTGAATGACTCACAACCTGCAGAGCTATTATGGAATGGGGAATAAATACTGTGCTAGAATGTTCTAAGAAGAAACATCTTTTAAATCGCAAGCACCACTATACAAATCGCTTCTTATTCAAAAAAATCAATCACTGTGAAGAAGAGTGATTTATGTGCTATTTGTTTATTTATTTATTTATTTCCCTCTCAGAGTCTCAGAGACAGACTTCTAGATGAGCCAATGTCTGTGTGCACAGGTGCACAAACACAGAACTACCAGAGCCATTTAAACTTGCACATCAACTTCAGATGAAAAGGGAATCACTGCTTTCTAAAAAAGGGGGAGGAGTTTATAACAGTTAATTTCTGAGTTAAGAGAACTGTTTCTTTACTGCTGTATCACGCAAAAGTCTTAATTTTCAAGGGTTAACCACATCAATCTATATAATTAAAGACAATGAAATCCAAATCACCCAACAGTTATAGATAGGAAGATTTCTAAACTGTGTCCATTCTTCACTCCCAGCTGGTGACTTTGGGGCAGTAACAAGTTAAACAGGACCTGGAGAACATTGATAAGCTATGCAAATCTATTAGTAGAATGACAAACACCAATCACAGGTACCTTTGGTATGGCTCCCAGCCGAATACTGTTGATGAGGGAACATTCCAGCACTTGTCCTTCCTGAAGAGAGAGAATATAAGCCGGCAGTGTGCTTCAATTTTGCCTGACCAATGGTACAAGCTACTCAGCCAACATTTTTGACAACAAAGTCACTGCTGATCAGAATAAGGTGAAAACAATGATGATTGTTGCTAATGATCAGAAGTAATCGTTAGCCAGCCTTCCTTCCTTCCTTCCTTCGTTCGTTCGTTCGTTCCTTCCTTCCTTCCTTCTTTCTTTCTTCTTTCTTTTTTGCAAGGGATTGAACTAAGAGCCTCATGCAAAATAGGCAAGTGCTCTACCACTGAGCTACATCCCAAGCCCCCAAACTTTATATTGCAACTATTTATACAAATACAACATAAGAAAATTATTCATAATATGTTTATAAAATGCCATTCCCTTTATACACATAATGTGGCTAGTAAATTCTATAATATCATTAAATATATTGGCACACAAAATATTAAGTGGGAATAAAACGTTTATGTAACTCCAATTCTCCTTTTCTTACATTTGGCTTAAATGTTCATTATGTGTGTACACTGGAGATGAGCACCCTTTTAGTGTTTGCAAGAAGCCACTTTAGATTTCAGCTTGAACTTTTTTTTTTTTTTTTTTGGTCTGGGAAATTTTCTGAACTCCCAAGATTAAATCAGATCACTAGTTGTAAGATTCTATAACTAGCTAAGCTTCTCTTTCACAGCACTCACTCACTTGTAACTCTTATTTTTTAAATTCCGGACTATTCTTACACTAGAATATGTGAGGATTAGGATAATGTCCTTGATCCCCACTGTATCTCCAATACCTGGCACATGTAAGCATGTTTTTAAAAAGCTGAAATGAATGATCAGGTGCCGGGGTCTATGCCCTCAAGAGGCACTTGTTCTACCTGTTGAGAAATGAAGTGGCTTGAGTCAGAAAGCAGAAAGAAACACTTGCTGTTTTGGTGCCATACCTTGCCTTCACTTTTCCAAGTCAGAAAGAAGCCAAATTCATCCACTTTGAAGAGGCAGTTGGGTTCAAAGACGAATGATTCCTGTTAGAGAGAAATGTGTTGATTTTCATGACTCACACCATTTTGAATCTAATAAAAATGCAAATATCTTTGAGCCTCTAAACAAAGGAAAATGAGAAATCACCCTCTTGCATCCTGATTCTAATAATCATATTTCTTATCTTATTATGTTTCATTTTGTAAATTCCTTGCATTCTTTTTTGTTTGTTTTATATTGTAAGGCTGATCAATTTAATAGAGCATCTTCCTTTCTAGAGCAGGCTTGAAAATAAATGACACTCATGTCCTGAAGGTCCCTACAGAAGGAAGTTTTCCTAAGGTCTTGGAAGAGGAGCTTTTGGTCAGAAGGAGGACAATCACATTCAGCCCCTGGTCTCCCTCTGTGCAAGAGAAATTGTTGCCTGTATCTCACATGATGTCAAACCTCAGTCATAGTGATGGATCTGTGTTATAACAAGTCCTCCAGGTGATTCTAATGTGCACTCAAGTTTGAGAACCTCTGACGTGGACTCTGACATCAGAAACTCAGTGAAATACGACAGAATAAAAATTTAATCAAGAAAGAATATCAGCCAAACCTAGGACATCAGAGCAACTGCACTGCATTGTACTTGCCAACAGATTCCCAGGCTTGAGCAAGAGAGCACCACTGTAATGCCAGGAAAATTCTATGTCAATGAAAGAAAAAGAGTGTTTAGCAAATGAACCAAGATGGCCTTTGCCCCCTGTTTGCACTACACCACAACTTGGCCAGCTTGCTTCCACAAGCCTATGTTCCTTTCAGGATCTAAAGAACTTGTTTTCCCCTCTCAATGCCACATCAGCAATTAGAAACCTGTCTGGCAAATATGGATCAAGGCAATGACTTAAAACAGGTATGTAACAATTATAGGATTAAGATTTTAGGGGCATCGAAGAATCTTAGTTTCACCCATTAAAATTTGTTTTTCTCAATTCCAGGGAAATGGGAATATTCACCAAGGCAAATGCAACGTGGAGATACTCGGCCACCATGGGGTGGTAGAATTTAGAGACCTGGGGGCTCTGAACAGAGCTAATCTTGGAATTGATAGGATAGTTGACTGGCAGATGAAGAATTACCAGCTGTAGTTCATCTCCCTTTCACGTATGTATTGGATATTGCAGATACAGCAGTAAATTTGATAAAGACAAGGGCATTCATTGCATGACTTCTGCTTTTGGAGTCAGTACTCAGTTCCACCAGTTTTTTTTTTTTTTTTTTAATTGGCTTCTACTAGAAAAGCCTTTCTAAGTCTCAGAAGCCTTGTCTAATAAATGGAAGCATTTACATGTAACTTTTTGGTTTGTTGTGGGAATTAAGACACAGGGAATGTCAAGAACACAGCACAGAGTTACCTCTCATCAAGTGGCAGCTGTTAGCAATAATGTATGGTTTGAAACTGCAACTGTTGTAGCAAATTACTAACAATATGGAATTGCCAATGTGAGACAAATTTTTTACCCCTCCAAATGGCATTTTGTTTTTCTTTTTGGGTACAGGGGATTGAACTCAGGGGCACTCAACCACTAAGCCACATCCCCAGCCCTCCTTTGTATTTTATTTAGAAACAGGGTCTCACTGAGTTGCTTAGTGCCTCACTTTTGCTGAGTCTGGTTTTGAAATCGCAATCCTCCTGCCTCAGTCTCCTGAGCCTCTGGGATTACAGGTGTGCCACACTGCACCTGGTACAAAGTGGCATTTTTCAAGGGATTTAACCTAGATGTTCATACTTTTAGATGGGACTTCATGCCAGACAGAGAACAGCATTTGTAAAGGTACACAGTCTTGAACTGATGCTCGAGAGGAACTTCTGGGGAGTATGGAGTAGTGAGGCAAGTGGCAGGAGATAAGATGGGACATATAACTAAGAGCTAGGTCATGGGAAGGATCTTGCATACTGTAGAAAAATGTCTCCACCTAGAAGGTCATGGGAGTCCTATCTGTTACTAATCAAGACATGAACATTAGTACATTTTAAAATACTTCCCAAGCAATATCCTCAGAGTAAAAAGGAATTTGGGTGGGCAGGGTTCATTTTCTAATATGGCCCTTAGAAAGTAGACCCACAACGAATCCACTGGTGATATTATTCATGTGGCCCCTATCACTTAATTCCAGGTAAGGATTTGAGATGATCCATAGCATAGATGCCATAAAGAAAGGTTTCCTCACTTATTTTGGAGCTGGACTTCCATTTCCTCCACAAGCACAATGAATTTTTTTCTTTCTCTTCCTCTAAGTTATCCAGACGAGATCGGGTGCATTCAGGGTGGTATGGCCATAGACATCCTCTAAGTTATTCAGAGCTCATCACCATTATCACCTGGAAATGTCAATTCGAAGCATCCCACTCTTGGACCACTGCTCATATGTCTCATCCCCTAGTTCTAGTGCTCTCCGTCTCCTGTGTTTACTTCTCTTACAACCTCTTGTTCATTCTCCCTGTCAATCTCTCACGATCCACCTGATTCCTTCTCCTTTACTTCCATCTTTGTCCAGCTAATTTCCATGGCCCAGTATTAAATCACTCCTTCATAGATGCTTTCAACTCTGAAACCAAGTCCACCCTAGCCATGTTGTACCATTAAACTTGATGAAGAAAATCACAAAACGAATTTGTCTGGTTTTAGTTAAATTCAAGACTATAAATCTCAGATAATCAACAGTCACTTTCAATCTTATAGATTTTTTTTAAAAATAGATTTCACCATTCTTGGGGCTGGGGATGCAACTCAGTGGTAGAGCGCTTACCCAGCATGCAGGAGACCCTGGTCTGATCCCCAGTATGACAAAATTAAAACACAGAAATAGTTTCCTCATTCTGAGAGGACTAGTCCACTGCTTATTTTTGAAACTTGATCACTCTTCACCAATTACAGTGCTTCACTGAGTAAGGAGAAGACATCATTTGGAAACCTCCCCTTCTTCCCTCCTAATGAAGTATGTTTCTTGTATCAGAAGTCAACTCCCCCATTTCTGCTCCGAGTTCAGTCTTCTTCTTACATAAGGACTTTGGGTTTTTTTTTTTTTTATCACCCAACACACATCAGTTGTTGTTATTTTTTTCTTTCCTACTAAATCATTCAACAAAAGACTGAAGGATATTCACTAGTTGTCTATCTAGTTTATAAGATAAAAACTTATCAGTGATTAGGGACAACAATGGCCAGAACAAAAATTCTCCAGGGAAACCTCACCAAGAAGCCCCAACTGACATTAAAGACAGGGATGCAGGAAATCCCACAATAAGCTCATCCACTGTAGCTGAAAGGTTTCCAGCCCAAACATGTTCAAATTGACCATGAAAAATCAGAGAGCAAATCTGAAGGAGGTATGTCAACCACTTGAATGGGACCAGAAACCAACCTATATATGTTTCTTTCCACAAATGAATGGAACCTGACCCTAAGGTTAGTAAAAGCACAGATATCTATTCTTTTTCCCTAACAACAGTTTTAAACTTGATATAGACACATCCTGACCAGAGAACATGGGAGGTGGTTTCCTGAACTGACTAAAGCAGTAATATCCTAAATCTCATCCTCAGGAACATCTCTTCCAGATTGGGAGATCTCTTCAAAGGAAGCTAGGCTCCTTCTCCTCTGCAACTCTGTTTTTCAGTTAACAAATGGTAACAGAACTTTCTGGTAAGGAAATAAACGATAATAGGACTTCTACCAGAGACCCTAAAGTTTCAGTTCTCATAAGGTTCAGTTAAAATTCCTCATAGTCACCCTCAGAGCTCAAGGGCTTATTACTTTACCCAGTTCAACTCTTTCTTCGAGCCATAGGACGAGGACTAGAAAGGGCCAGGAACTCCTTTCGAAAATACTGAGCAAGTGGTGGTATTTTGTTTGAGAAAGACCAGAAGCATCACTTTGGCTGGAATTACTATTGTCAGACGCTGGCTGGTCCAGGGATCTGAGGAGGTGTGCCCCTACAGGCCAACAGGCACCTCCCCATCTCATCAAGGAAGAAGTGCGTATTTAAGTTTTTTATGGGTTTATTTTAAGTATATTTTCCTGGTCCACACTGTTTGTACATCACTCAACATTACAGCCTTCCTCTCAAAGATTCAAGTTACTTTCAAATTGATTTATTTTTTAAAATTTTTTATTTGTTCTTTTTAGGTATCCATGACAGCAGAATGCATTTTGACATATTACACATGGAGTAGAACTTCCCATTCTTGTGGTTGTACATGATGTGGAGTTACACTGGTTGTTTATTCATAGGAAAGTTATGTCCGATTCATTCTCCTGTCTTTCCCATTCCCTTCCCTTCAAATTGATTTAGATTGAAACTATTTTGTCTTTGCATTTTAAAACTTATTCTGTTAAATAAAGTGAAGTCCCCTTTCTTCTTATAAGGAAATGGCAGAGAACTAAACAGGCTGAATGCTCTGATGGAAGAGGAGGAAAGGTATTCATGTGGGAGATACTGATAATAGGTCCTTGATTTTATTTTAATTGTGACCTCTGATTATGTCTCACCTTTTATCTCTTGACCTCTCTCTCACCATCATTATCCAAGTTAATTGCAAATGTCTATATATTTAGAAATGATGTTTGCATCAGTGAATAGGATACAGTCAAGTCTTATTGCCAGCCAGGGAGAGCTATTTTGGACTGCCAATCAAAGCTTTAAAACCTACACTCTGGTTAAACCTTGATTGTTTAGGGGCTAGTCTTCTGCGTGTGGGGATGACACAGGTAGTTTAGGACACAGGAAGGAAATGGAGGGAGGCTTTTTACACTCCATCATAAATCTTGTGCTTTCCGAGAAAGAGCACCTTCTCAGGAGGTGAGGCTCCTAAATGAGTCGGGGGCCCAGCCCTGTAGCTAATGGTTCCTGAATGCTTGACTCCTCACCAGCACCTGTGGGAGAAGCTCAGCAATCATGCTGATTAACCTTGATGAATTTCACTCTTCCAATCTGAATATTGGGATAACTGATACTAACCTTAAGGAATGCTCAAAGAATTAAAGTTGAGAAGGTC